CGAGAAATATAGTCTGACCAGTGTTAAATCAAAAATTATAATCTGACCAATGTTAGATCAATAAATAAATCTATCACCGATGATTTTTCGAGAAAAACACATAATATTTTCTAAAAAAATTTGCTCTTTCTAAAGAAAATAAAAAAATTTGCTCGTGGTTCAAAAAAAAAAGGAAAATTCAAATGAAAAGAATAAAAAATAAAAGGCAAAACCCAGATCTTCCGACACCAGTCATACGTTCACATTATTATCTTTTTATTTCCAGTTGTTCTACTTCTCTTCATTAATTTTCTGCGGCCTTCTTCCTGCCTACATTCCCTTCTCCATTTCACATTTCAATTTAAAATAACCATTACATGCTCTCACCCTTTCCAGGACCTGTGATAACTTCCCTTCATTTTTTTTCCTGGGTTCTTTTTGTTTTAGCAAGCAAGCATCTTTAGGTTTACTTTCCAAAGGAAAAAAATGTTACTTTTTTCTGCTTTGTCTTTCTCAAAAAAATCAAATCACAACCAACCCAGATCGGCTTTGACTTAAGTGGCTCTGATTCTTGTTTTAATAAGCTATTCTCGTAGTTGTTTTCGTTTTTCTTTTGTTTTTTTCCCTTTTAAAATCTTGAAAATCCATCGTTTCCAGCTTTGAAAATGGTTGCATTCTCCCTATAGTGCTTTTCTGCTCTCCTAAATTTGGGTCCCATTTTTTCCTAACTTTTTTTTTCTGAACTCCACATGCTCACCATAACCACTTAAAAAAGAAGATTTTTTTGTAGTTTATTCATGCATAAAAGATGAAAAGATAAATACTTTCTTTTTTCAATTTTAAATAAGTTTCTTTTTTATAGTTTAAGTCACTTTCTCAAATCTTATTGCTTTGGTCAATATGTTAGTGCTCAGTAGTTTATAATGCCCTAAAGGATAGCCTCGGATTATTTTCTGGTTCACGCCCAAGACGGTATTCTATGCCGGCTACTTGATTCTGTGGCTCTTCATTGATTCTTTTGAGGTACCAAACTCTGAAATACTCACTTCCCTTTCTTGAATGATTGTCATTTCTGTGTTTTTATTCATCTTAAGCTTTCTTCCTTTGCTTTTGTTGCCAATCCTAATAAACATTGAAATCTGGTTCCATACTGTGATTAGTTCACAATTTTTGAAGCTTTTTATAGCGTTTCTATGAGCTGCATAGTGTTTGGTCTTGAATACCACAAATTTTGCCTACTTTCCTACGTTATTTAGCTTAAATATATGTTAGATGAGGCTCATGAATTAATTACTGCCTTGTATTTTTTTGTGGTTTATTTTGCAGAGGCTGCTGTACTGATTTTTTTTTATTTAATCCAAGGCATATGCGAATATGCTTGAGGAGCAGAGATTTCTCTATGGTTCTACTCTCCTGCTGTGTATCTCTCTTGGATCTTTCCTATTTGGGGTTGTAATTTCAGAAATACCATTGGGATCCAAACTATCCGTGGGAGAAAATAATTCATGGGTTTCTTCTAATGGTGATTTTGCAATAGGATTCTATAGCCGCCCTGATATGCCAAACCAATTTAGTGTTGGCATTCAATTCAATTCGAAGTCTATCCCTGTTGATAAACACACAATGGTTTGGGTTGCTGGGGGTGATGTCGCTGTTGGTAACAATTCCTATTTGGAGCTTCAGATGACTGGAGAATTGGTTCTTTTCGATGCCTTGCAGGATCAGGAAGTGTGGTCCACCAAAACAAGCCAGTTATCGGTTGTTGTAGCTTTTCTTCGTGACGATGGGAATCTTATCTTACTGAATGAGAAGAAAGGTGTGGTTTGGCAAAGCTTCGATTATCCAACCAACACTCTTCTTCCTGGCCAGAGACTTTCTCCCTTTAGAACATTGAGAGCTGCGAGCCAAAATGATGTTTCGAGTTTATATAGCCTCTACATGAATGTTTCTGGTCAGCTACAGTTAAGGTGGGAAAGCAACATCATCTATTGGAGCATTGGAAGGCCTTCTCAATCGAATCTCAGTGCTATTCTGACTTCTTATGGGAGCCTGCAACTTGTGGCTCCAACTTCTGGACCTGTATGGTCTGTGTATGGAGAAGATCATAATGACACCGTGAAATTTAGGTTTCTCCGGCTGGATGTGGATGGTAATTTGCGGTTATATTCATGGATGGACGCTTCACAAACATGGAGATCGGTTTGGCAAGCTGTTGAGAACCAGTGTAATGTCTTTGCAACTTGTGAACAGCGAGGCATCTGCGCGTTTAATGCATCTGGTTCCCCCATTTGCACATGCCCATTTTCCAGTGTGGTTCACTCTAATACAAAATGTTTGGTTTCATCTCAGCATGGCTGCAAATCAGGGTCAATTCTGGTTGAGCATGCCAATATGTTTCTTTATGGAATTTACCCCGTCAATGATTCCATCTTCGTAACTAGTTTAGACAAATGCAAAAGCATGTGCCTTAGTGACTCGAGTTGTACTGCTGTAACCTTCACAAATGATGGCACTGCAAAATGCAGGATGATGGAAACTCAGTACATCAGCGGTTATTCACATCCATCTCTTAGTTCAACCTCTTTTATTAAGAGGTGTTCGGACCCCATGGCTGCTGACCCTGTCTTCCCCTTGAAGTCTCCGCCACAAGCACATAAGGAGTCTTATAATATTTGCATTCCTTGTCTAGTTGGAGCAGCCTCAGGCACAATTTTTGTGTTTGTTGTGATTCAGTTGGCATTAGGATTTTACCTTTATAAAAGAAGAAACACTTATAAGAGACTTGCTTCTTTAGCTTATTCTAGCCCTGGTTCCAAATGTCTAATCGTGTTATCCTTCACCGAAATCAAGGATTTTACGGAGAATTTCAACCACCAAATCGGGCCAAGAATGTTCAAAGGCACCTTACCCGACAACCAGCCAGTTGCAATCAAAGAGCTCGAAGCAACCATTGAAGCTAGAAAATTTCGAGCTGCATTGTCAAAGGTTGGAAGCATTTATCACAAAGGTCTTGTCAAGCTGGAAGGCTATTGTTGTGAGTCGGATAGGAGGTATTTAGTCTACGAATATGCCAAGAATGGCTCTGTGGAGAAATACATAGAAGATTCAACACTGGCTGAGAGACTGACTTGGAGAAAGAGAAAGGAAATATGCCTAAGCGTGGGTCGAGCCATATTTTATTTGCACACGGGGTGTCGAGAATTTTTATGCCATGGAAATTTGAAATGCGAAAATGTAGTTCTCGATGAAAACCTGGAGGCTAAAGTGAATGAATTTGGATTGGGGATGCTTTATGGTGAGGCATCCTCCAGTATGGCTTCAGCTCAGAAAGATGTGGGGGATTTTGGTAAGATGGTTTTGACACTGGTTAGTGGCCTTAAAGAAGCCAATGATGTGTTTGATTGGGCTTATAAGGAATGGTTCGAGGGTCATCCGGAGAATGTAGTAGATAAAAGAATCGAGGACGAAGTTGATACCGAGGAACTCGAACTTGTGTTGAGGATTTCCTTTTGGTGCCTTCAAGTGGATGAACGTTTGAAACCTTCGATGGGGGAGGTAGTGAAGGTGTTGGAAGGCTCACTTCCTGTTGATCCTCCTCCACCGCCATTTAGTTGTCGGAGATCACCGAGGGGGGAGGAAGACTCATCGGAGTTAGGTTCAGTGAGAGACATAGGAATGTAATGTAAAAAGTGATGATTTTCTTTGATTTTTCTTTTACAATTTTGTACAGTAGGACTAACATTGGCAGCAATGAGACTGTTCCAGAATGGGGCATGCATATGCCATATTTCCATCCACTGTTTGTGTCAGTTGGTCATGTATTTTTCTGCTGCATTTTGGATTGGTTTGTACAAGTGGGCGGCTGAGTGGGTTCTCATCTCTGGGGGCTAATGACGTTCTGCTGCACAAGGCATTGAACAAGTCTCTTCGCTTCATGCCAAGGTGGGATTACATGCTGAAGCAGCTCTTTCTCGGTTTCAGATGAAATTAGTAGAAAGGCTAAGTAATGTGAAATCAGTTAATCGAACGGGTTTCAAGTCAGGTCAGATTAAATTGGGTGCGAATTATATCAAGTTAATTCAATGGTTTAACTCGAGTCAGGTCGGGTCCAGATCAACTTGGGTTTTACTCGACTCGAGTTTGGGTTGATTTCAAATCATACTCAGTTCATAATTTTATTTTTTAAAACAATCTAAAGTGATTATACGATAATATTAGTTCATAGTTTTTTAGTCAATAATAATATATACTTATCTACGAATATAATTTCTTGAATCTAAAATCTTTGAAGAGAAAAATATTTCCTTTAACAAGTGAAATTATTTAATGAATTCATATCCATATGACTCATAAATTTAAAATTATTTATATTTTACTTTTTACGTGGTTTCAGAAACTTTTCTAAAGATATTCCCAATAAATAAATCAATCTCGAAATCTAAGCTAATAATACAACCATGAATATACTCGTTCAACCTTAATTTTTTTTTTATAAAAAAAAGATTTTCATTGTTTGGACAATATGTAACCAAAGGCTTAACAGCTTAATTTCGGACCCTTGTCTCTTTCAACTGCAATTCCCACGGTTGTTTCCTATTCTTCTTCTTTTTCTTAATTTCCACAAGCTTTAAATATAATAAAAAGAATATTTTTCTTCTGATCTTCAATTCTTCATTGCTCCCATGCATGTATATATATACATATACACACCCGCACACACATATATTATACATTCATCAATGTGAATTCTCCTTCATTTCAGTTACCCTTTTTTCCCATAAAAATCCCATTCTTTCCCTTTTTGTTTTGGTCGGAATCCTTGAGAATTTCCCAGAAAATATGGAAACAAGGTTTCTGTTCCTTGGAGTATTTTGTATTTTTTTCCATTTGAATATTTGAAAAAGAAGTTTTAATATATAGAAGGGTCTCCCCCCTAGTTTTTGCTAAAAAAAATAGCAAATTTTGGTTCTTTTTGGGTTTAAATTCAAACATTCATTTATATTTAGATTAAATTTTGGTTTTTTTTTTTAAATTTCATGGGAAATTGTTGTGTGACTTCGGGAACTGCTTCTCATGAGAATAAGAAGACGACGAAGAAGAAAGGAAAAAAGAAGCAAAACCAAATTTCCCGTGAATCTGGGCACAATCACCAAGGTCACGGAGGCCATAAACTCATCGTTTTAAAGGAACCAACAGGGAGAGAAATTAAACAAAGATATGAACTGGGACGCGAGCTTGGGCGTGGTGAATTTGGGATCACGTGTCTTTGTACGGACAATCAAACTGGTGAGACATTTGCATGCAAATCGATATCAAAGAAGAAGCTGAGGACGGCGGTGGATATCGACGACGTGAGAAGGGAAGTTGAGATCATGAAGCATTTGCCAAAACATCCTAATATTGTCACCTTGAAAGACACTTTTGAGGACGACAATGCAGTGCATTTGGTCATGGAGTGGTGCGAGGGTGGTGAGTTGTTCGATAGAATTGTTGCTAGAGGCCATTACACCGAGAGAGCAGCTGCTGCTGTCACCAACACCATTGTTCAAGTTGTTCAGGTATACTTTTTTCCCCTAAAGTGATTAACGTAACACTCAAGTTGTTAACATATTTTTGTTCTTATAGATGTGCCACAAGCATGGTGTGATGCATAGAGATCTCAAACCAGAGAACTTTATGTTTGAAAATGAAAAGGAGACGGCTGTTTTGAAGGCGATTGACTTCGGTTTGTCAGCATTCTTTAAACCAGGTAATGCAATTTTGTAAAACAGAATTCATGTTTTCACCTATTGGTTTCATCATTCCATGTTTTATCAGTTGAAGTTTGAATATTTTCCTTTGCAGGAGAAAGGTTTTATGAGATAGTTGGAAGTCCATACTACATGGCACCAGAGGTGTTGAGAAGAAATTATGGCCCTGAAGTCGACATTTGGAGTGCCGGTGTCATCCTTTACATATTGCTTTGTGGGTTACCTCCTTTTTGGGCAGGTTTGCATCGGTTCATAGACATAATTAGAGTTGTAACTTCTAATGGATCTTTCATTTTGTATTCAATCTCTCTTTGTTCACTCTAACTTTCCCTTTTCCTGGGCAGAAACTGAACAAGGAATTGCACACGCAATTATTCGCTCCGTCGTCGAGTTTAAGAGGGATCCTTGGCCTAAAGTTTCTGATAATGCAAAAGACCTTGTGAAGAAGATGCTCAATCCTGATCCAAAGCGGCGACTTACAGCTCAGCAAGTCTTAGGTAAATTTAGTTCTTATGATGAAGGTTGTCTGTTCTTGAAACTTTTTACTTGCCACCAGAGAGAAAATTTTAGCAAAATTACATTGTTATTTTTATTGAAATTCCTGAACTGAATTGCTTCTAAATTCAGACCATCCTTGGTTGCAAAATGCAAAGAAGGCTCCAAATGTTTCCTTGGGTGAAACTGTGAAGGCAAGGCTCAAGCAGTTCTCTGTAATAAATAAGCTCAAGAAAAGAGCTCTCAGGGTAATACTTTGTTTTATTTTTTGGGGATTACAACCTATATAGAGCTACCATTCATTAGTTTAACATTCACCCTCCTTGTTTTTGGAACATCGTGTACTAATAGGTAATAGCTGAGCATCTTTCGGTCGAGGAAGTTGCAGGCATAAAAGAGGGATTCCAAGTGATGGATACTAGCGGTAGAGGAAAGATCAACATTGATGAGCTAAGGGTTGGATTACATAAACTTGGCCATATTATTTCTGATTCAGATCTTCAAATATTAATGGAAGCAGTAAGTTCTACCCTAAATTTTCTGTCTGTTTTATGTTGGATCTTTATTCGAAAGGCTTAAAAAAGTGTGACATTAGCTTATTGATGCTGCAAGTTTCGAATGTCTGCATAATTTGATTACACTTCGCTACAACAGTATTGTTATCTCTTTTACTGAGCACTTTCTACCTAAATCTAGTTTTATGAAAATCAATGGATCAACATGGTTTCTCTTAATTTTGAAATCCAAGGCCATTGTTATGGTGACCACAGAAAAAACAATTTGAAACCTGTGCATTGTCATTATATAAGAAGAGTGTGGGCAATTTGAGGACGACCAAAGTGTTTGAATCTTTTGGAAAAATGTAACTAAACTTTTTGTCATTTTGATTTTTTCTTCACAGGGCGATTTCAATGGAGATGGATATTTGGACTACGGAGAATTTATCGCCATCTCAGTTCACCTGAGAAAGATGGGCGATGACAATCACATTAAAAAGGCTTTTGAGTTTTTCGATAAAAATCAAAGTGGTTATGTCGAGATTGAGGAACTAAGAGATGAATTAGCAGATGAGCCTGAAACGAACAGCGAAGAAGTCATTAGTTCCATCATGCATGATGTGGATACAGACAAGGTTAGGTTTTCCTTTGCTCTCTTCTCGGCATGCTATTCTGATGGTCATGCTTATGAACTCAAGCCAAATTCTGTTTGATGAATCTGCAGGATGGGAGAATAAGTTATGATGAGTTTGCTGCAATGATGAAAGCCGGTACAGATCGGAGAAAAGCGTCAAGGCAATACTCACGATAGCGGTTCAACAACCTCAGTCATAAATTGATGAAGGATGAATCATTGCAGTTGCATCTTGATCCTAGATGACCCAACACAACAAACTTTTCTTAATGAAAAAGAGAAATATTTTATGAGTATAAATTTCTTCTGTTCTTGGGGATGTCTAAAGAAAATTCCTTGATGATACCCTTCATTAAGGGAGGACTACTTGGATTGAGCCTTTGATTGATGCCAAGGGGGATGTCCTTGATCATCTATTCACATATTGAAAATACGGGGCTTGCTTATTTGTGTTGTAAATTTTCTTTGTTATATATCCCATACTTGAACCAGGTCTATGTATGTAGTTCACCATTTGTTGGTATCATCTTGGTTTTTCGAGTGATTAAACTGAAGAAACTGAGGGTTAGTATTTTTGCAATTGAAAAGTCTTTTCATTCATAAGATTGCTGCCAAAGCAGTTGGACAAGCTTTAGTTTTATGTTCTGTCGTAGACAATTCTTTGGTTCCATTTCTTTACTTCAGCATGGTTTTCATCTCTTACAGAGAAATTTGGCTGAGTTTTTCCTCATATTAAGTAGCATAAAAAGGGAAAGGTTTAGATTGTGGGGTAAGCATGATTGCAAATGTAGCAGTGAAAGTAAAGCATAAAAACAGGCACAGGTTGCTAAAGGTAGTCACTTGTCCTTTGATCAACCGGATGAGCATGTTTTACGTGATGCTTTTAGTACCATTTTGTTTCTTTATGAAAAAAGAAGTATCAACGGTAAGTTTTTCATGTTGGGGTCTCATAAATCTACTGAAATATAAGCTTTTGGAGAAGAGACATTGAGTTTTAAATTCAAAAGCCTGTAGTGATATGCTTTTTTCAGATGGTGGACTCCTTTGTGCCTTTCCGTTGCAATGCCTTTTGACCATTGTAGATATGACAGAAGCCGGAAAGCATGCGTGCGTGATTTCTGGGATCAAAATTTACCATAAAGTTCCCACCATATACCACATATGAAAAATGTCATTGACGCTTTTCTTGGTAGAATAGCTACCACTTCAGCCAAGAATAACATGTAAATCGAATTTCCCGAGAGAGAAAGTAAGAGTATTGTTTTCCCTAAGGTTTCGGGTTCTAGAGCAACTGCATATGTAGGGTGTGGGTATGTGTTCTCAATGGCTATGAAAGACTCTAAACAAATATTACTTTATAATCATCGCAACTATTAAAAAAAATAACCAGGGTAAGGGTAATTAGTAACATACATGATTTAGGTTTTCCATTAAGAGTATTAAGAGTAACCCACCAATGAAGCTGCCATAATAAAGATTATTGTAGTAAATCATTGTTAGAAGCTGCAGCCAAGAGAGTTCCTCCCATATTTTCAGCTAATACATTGTTATAATGTTGTCTCTAACAGCATCCCCAACACATAAAATAATCAATAATCACACTTACATTTGCATCAGATGGATTATTATGTATGAGTCTTCATTTCTTTTCCTCTTGCTTTGATTCCTCACTGGGAGGTTGAACTGCCGGAGGAGGGACTCCACCATCAATGCAACTTCTACACTTGCTTTCTATCCAGCCTTCAATGTCATTCTCCCCATTCCCACCGAAATGCCTTCCACCACACAGCCGAGAAATGATACCTGCAATAACACCTACGATAGTTATCACAGCCAGCACTACTATCAGTGTTTCGATTGACCGATGCGAATACCGACTCGGTTCCCTCACTGTAGGAGGCGCCTCAAATACGAGCACATATTGACCAGGTACCCTTGCTTCCATAGCTACGATGACAGCCAAACTGAACTAGATGCTGATAAACTCAGTGAAATCTTGCAGACATGTAAGTGAAGGAAGCAGAATATGAAATAGAGTATAAGGGAAGTTGAGGAGAGGTTTGGGGGGATAAATAATGTGGAGAGGAAGAAGTAAAGAGCAGTATTTGTATAAAGGTGAAAAAGGATTCCAGAATTAAAAGGAAGAAAAAGCACTTCTAGTCCCACTTTTGGGCACATTGGATCTTCTTTGTTGTGATCATTTCTCATCCAACTTTTGATTACTTTATTTTAGGGTTTAAAACATGCTCCAAAGCAAGTGAAAGATTATATATTAGCGGTTTGTCCTTGGTGATATCACATGTTAAGGTTAAAGAATGAGAGTCCCAAGATGTAATGTATTTTAGCTCATACCAACTATCCTAGTTCTTTTTTATTCTTTCTTGTCTCTTGTAGAGGTTGGAACTTCCCTCTCACAGTCACAGTTTCACTTCAGATCAGTTTGTCAATATATGCACAAGACAATGACAGACATGAATCAGAGCAAATAAGAGTGGCTTAACCGAGGAGAACCTGTCTTGGTGAACCCCCGAGCCTGAGCACATCATGTGTTCATGCAGCTTGGAGGTGAGCTTGGTGAATAAATACCCTTCTTTATCATCACCGTCAAACATAAATTGCGGTGTTCAAACAGTTAATTCTATTTTTCTTTAACAGTTAACCAAACCAATTCTTTTTATAACTTATTACTTGAAATTGTTTATTTACTTTAATTTGCTTTTAATAGAAGTATTTTTTTCATTTAGGTTAAAATTTAATTGAGTTTCGAAATTTGATGGTCTATTATGGTTAGAAAATAATTTTGTCTTAATTTTTAAAGGGTTTGAGCTTAATATATATATTATATTAAATAATTAATATTTTTGATTAATTAGATTAACTAATCGATTTCAAATCGGATTAACCATCAACTGAATGCTAAAGAAAAATTATCGTTCTTCAATCGAACTAATTTCAGTGATCGACCATTTAACTAAACTAATTCTATTTGGTTGACTAATTCGGTTAAAACTAAAAAAAAACACTTGTTTAAGTAGTGGATTGAATTTTTTTTTCCAACCAAATTGGGCCAACAAATAACTTTCTCCAAATAAGAAATGGGCTAAATCCTCTACCAAAGACATTTCAGAATTTTAAAACATTAAATGGGGATATGGTAAGAAAAAGCCCAAAAGTAAGAAGATTAAAAAGACAACATAAACAGAAAAAATCCAAAGACATGAGAAAAAAAATAAAAGGCAAAACAAAGAAAGTTCATCCAAAAGGCCGACCACATCTTGTCTGAAAAAGATTTTAGGACCATCAAGAGGGCTTCAATGAAGGAATACTTTCACATTATCACATATATCTTGTATTGGTCCTGAATAATCGACCTACATTTGGAGATAAAACATTAAATGGGGACATGGTAAGAAGAAAGATGAGACTTTTTATTTCATAGAGGATTAAAAAAAAGAACTCTCTAACTATGAGAGAAAACCAAAACCGTAGAGTTGAACTACGTTGATGTCGGGAGAAACTCTATAGAAAAGACAAAAGTGGGATTCACGAGAGGTAGTCGGATTATTGAGACACGAGCCATCTGTAACACCTCAAACTTGATCTAAATATGATGAGCTTAAGTTGTTATATTAAAGCCTTACAATATCACCGAGTCAATCTATCAAGGATAAAATCTATACGTACTGACAAAAAATTGTGCAATCTTAGTAAAATGGTCTATAATAATTCATATGATGTTATGCTTGCAGTCATCAATAAACCCATCACAATGTCCATGGTCACTGAATCTCACTTCCAGTATAAAATCTAAATAGGCTGAAGTTGTAACACCCTCAACGTGGTCTAGTAAGGAATTGGATCAACAATGTTACACGATTGATCAGAACCGATAACTTTTAATCTAATTATATTGTCGGATAATTAATTAATCAAATTAAGATTTTAGGGACTAAGTTCTTATTATAATCTTAATCAAGGACTAATTAAACACCTTAACATACTTTAAGGATTGCATCATAACACCATCAACTAAATTAAGCGATCTTAAACATTATTCACTGTTGATATCAATATTGTTCATGCAATACTGATATTATCTTAGAATAGTATGTGTACTAGATAATCAATATCAATACTGAATTATTTATCTCGACCTCAAAGCTTAACCTAATACTGATACCCTAACTCAATAGGCCAATACTAATGTTATACAATTATAATACTGATATTGACCTATAGTATCGATACCAATTTAAGGCTATGTGATTTGGATTCCTCCAAGAAGTATTGATACCTAGACATTTGGTAACGATACCATGAGGATAATACCAATACCCAATGTCAATATAGATATAGAAACAACTTAGAATTTTCTCAATAAACCTATGGTATCAATACCTCCTAATTTGATATTGATATCATATACAACAAATAGTTAAAATCACATCTCAAATATACTTCAAAGTGCACAAAATTTGACCTATACTATATGCAACTCATATAACCTTTCACCCATGCTTATTCAAGTGCATGCACTTAATCATACTTAGGAACATAACTAGGATCAAATGTTGAGGGGATAAAATTATTTTGTATTAAAAGAATAATAATCTAATAAGTATTAAAATTAAAAATTGAAAGTGACAAAAATTTTATTTGACTAATATTTAAATTAAAGAGGACCTAAAATATAATTATACAAAAAAATATATGAGGAACAACAACTCCCCCTCCCCCACTCTGTAGATATGTCCTGGATCATATTTACTATCTATGATTCTTATTTATCATTCATGCATATCATTTAAACATTCATTTAGCGTATACATACTTCAGAACATATCATAAAAGTAAAACATGCATATACATGGCATGTGGATCATGTCATGAAACAACATACCGTTTAACAGCATAGCATATTCAAAACAATATAGACAATAAAATATCAATAAATTTACATATTCACCTTTCAAAAATATATTTAATATGACGCATTTTTATCTATATAACATTAAAACGGTGTTACTTTGATAAATGATAAAAAAATTATTTCAATCTTTAATAAAAAAATTATATATTTAGATAAAAGGTAAACCATGTATTTAGTCATCTAGCTATTTTCCGGTTTTGTTTTGTTCAAACAACTTTTTCTTAAAATTATATCTAAAATTATGTTTTGATATCCCGTAGTCGAAAATGTAATGGTCATGTAAACGCATCACAATAAAATAGTATCACATCATCATTAAAAAAGTAAAAGAAAACAATCACGTCAATAATTTTATTTATTTTTTAACAATGAGTGATCAAACGGAACAAATACATAAGTTTGGATATGATTTTTTTAATAGTTTGGAGTGTTTATGAGGTAATATTTGTTCATAAACTTTCTTAACGGTGATTATTCTCGAGGTTCCATTTTAGTCATTCAACTATTTTTTTTCAAAATGATATCTAAAATTATGTTTTGGTCACCCATTATTAAAAAATAATTGTGATGTTAATGTATCGTAATAAAATAATATCACATCATTATAAAAAAATAAAATTATCACGTCAATTGTTCTGTTTATTTTTTAACGATTGGTGATCAAAACGGAACAAAAATATAACTTTGGATATGGATTTTTTAGTAGTCTGGAATGTTTACAAGATATTATATGTTCATAATATTTTCTAACTATTGACAACGCAAATATCCTGCAAATAAAACTACTCAAATCCGAAATTTCAAAGAAAAATAATGTTATCTTTAACTACTGGGGATATATGATTGAAAAAGAAAAGATTGATGACTAAAACTAAACTTTAGGAATAATTAAGCTACTAATCTTAGATAAATTAGCCGTAAAGGTGGCCCAAATAAACAATCCCAATTCCCACGGTGTTTGGTTCTATTCGACATTAAGGAAGACTTTGAGAAGGAATACAAGATGAACTTTTGACCACTTTTCACTTTCAACTTTCGATCCCCAATTTCTCTCTAATTACGCGAATTCGTAGGATTTTCCCTCCCATCAAATCCCTGGTTACCCAGAAAGAAAACAAACAAACAAATCAGTTCTTCTAAATCTAATCAGTTTGATTCAGCTGAGGGTAATTGAATTAGGATGGGGACTCCACAATTCCCAGATCTTGGAAAACATTGCAGCGTCGAAGATTGTAAACTGATTGACTTCTTGCCTTTCACTTGCGATCGTTGCCACCTGGTTAGTAATTCTTCTTTTATCGGACCTTCAATTCCTTCCCCTTCTTTCACGATTTATGTTTCTTGGCAAATATATTTGGGTATTTTAAAGATTTCCCGGGTTAGCTTCGATACCGGTACATGTGTTAGGTATGTTTTAGATTTAGATAATCCATAGACAATTTAGGCTATTTCTGACTTGGTTTTTGTTTCTTCTTTGATTTTGACTTTCCTTTCTGAAAAGGCAAAGCAAAATGAAAACAGATTAACAGTGTGGAAATTACTGGACTGAATCACAAATTTCCACATAATTATTCTTTTGCAGTATACAAAAATGACTAAAATCTTTTTCCCCTTTTTAAATGAGCAGCATGCTTCTACTATCCAGTAAAGCAGTTTGGCTGCTAGAAAATTTCAGTCTATTGTTACTTACATCATGTAAACCTCTCCGCATTTAACTTCCAATTCCTGTAAAATGCTATGTGGAGAGAATTAATTCTATTGTTATCAAGACTATGCAGTCGCAGGGAACCTGAGTCTCTGATTTGCTTCACCAATCTATCGGTTGTATCTTTCCCTCCTAACTAAGGATGGATCGAGGGGGCTGGCGGGGACGTCAGCCTCTGAAAATTTCAAATTCTCGTATAATTGATAATCTGTTTTCACCAATTTTATAAGTTCGTCCCCTGTCATAAAATCTGGTGTTCATTCCATCAATGCATGGTATTGTTTTGTTGATTTTTTATATTTGATTTTTAAAAAATATGTTTCACAATTGTATCAAATCACACATTTTGCCGCTTTAGGTAAAAAGAAATAAGTAGCAAAAGCAGCAATCAAATGAACCTTAGAAGTTGACCAACAT